AAAGGGGATTACATTTTCATAGAGGTTTTTTTTCATATTGTCCTATATCTTGATCAGTGATTATAGGCAGAGTTCTTAACATCTCTCATCTGTGTTGACTAGTACAAAGGCATTTATAATGTTTTGTGTGAACATACTTCCAAACTCATGTAAAAAATGTGGATCCTAGTCCTGGTTTGCCTCAATTTTCTAGTAGCATGGAAAAAACTTCGCAATTGAGTGGCCAATTGTGTATTGGTAAGAACAAAGAGCTAAAAGAGTGGGGAGAGTTGTTTCATGGGCTAACATGAAATCCAGAAATTCAGCAATAGTGATTTTATTTTTCTGGCAACCTGTTTGTAATGGGAGAAACAAAAATTATACTTACAGATTTCCCTACCAGCCAGTTGTTATCCCCTAAGAAAGCATCCAAATCTTTCAGTAACTCAGGTGCTTTGTTGGTGAGGATATCATCAAATGCTCGTTTCTGAGGGAAGAACAAAACAAAGATGCACACCAATGCATAAGTGCTTCAGTCTGCAAAACTGAATTTTTGGGGGTTTCTTACTTGTGAAAAAGAAAACTGAAATCTGAAAAAGGTGGCAGTGCAATCATTTGGTCTGGACCAAAATTTAGAGTACTCTGTTCTCTTTGGAAGAAGGAATGTGTTAACATCCAAGTCAGGATTAATACAGAAAACAGCAATTATTTAAGATCAGTAACAAAATGCAGAGGTAACTGTCATTTGAATACATGCAAAGGGGCGATATAGAATTTAGGAGAGCTAAGGTAATTACCCCTGAAGAGAGTTAGATGCCCAGAACATGGTATTTGTGGCTCAGTGAGCTGTGACTTAAGCTAATTACTCCCTTAATGAACACCTGAGAGCTCCTGGATGCTGAGACACCATGTGTGGGGTGATGCTGCACATTGATCAGTGCTAACAGCCACCCAGCTGTGGCAAGACAGGAGCCTTGCCACAGATTTGGGAAGAATCCATCTATAAAACATTCCTGATGTCTCACAGTCATTTTTTGGGGACTCTTGGATGTTATGTTTTCTTGTGTACGGAGCTGCAAATTTCCAGAATCCCTTAAGGTCAGTCTTTCTGAGCTGTCAGATGCTGATCAGTATCTTTCCTTACAAGCCCTTCTCCTGTGAGATATAGAACCCAGGTTTTGAGATTTTGCTGGGTTTTTCTTTGAGCTTTTATGTTATGAGGTTATTCTGTTTGCTTTTTTTATTTACACAGCAATGAGATTTGAGGTGGATAAAATATGTTTTTAAAGAGAAGTCTGCATTGAAGGGTATGGGCATTAGTATTGGTATGTTAATAGATGGAGGATGAGATTGTGTATGGTGGTGGTTCTCTGCTAGCTGTTCCCCTTAGCAGAAACTTTTGAGGTTGCTTTTAAAGGGTTAGCTGTTTCCTTTGGAGAGGGAAACTGTTTCTGGTTTTCTCTTCTTGCCTGCATGGAAGCAATTGAGATTGCAGACTGTTGTGGCCATCTGGTCTGACCCATGTGGCACAGTTTGTTCAGTTAATGTGTCTGGCCTAATTTTGGAGGAACGTACTGAGGCATGGTTAAATAAGCACTGCTATACAGGAATGGAATTATTTTAATAGCTTTGACATTCAGCTTAATGAAAAAAAAAAAAAATTTAGAAGAGGCGGCAGTGTAAATGGTCCCCAAAAATGCAGGCTGAAATAAAATCAGTATTTCTGTA